ACACACACACCCTCCCCCATTAACTAACATTACATTGTAGTAGCAGTAGTTGAGTTGTTGTCACAGAAAAACGTATTGCACCCCCTCATTCCACACATAATATCTCGATGGAAGCGTAAAAGTTTCAACGTTGACTGCTGTTCTGACAAATAAGGTGGACTTTCTTTCTTTCTTTTTCCCCCATCTGTGAAGGGCAAAGGACACGTATTTGCACTATATGAGAAACTGGGGTCTAAAGAACTTAAAAGTGGACCTAGAAAAGCACACGGCCACGGTGAGATTCCCAGGACTTGGAGGCTCGAAGCATGACAAATTCGGTGAGTATAGCGCCGTTAGTGTGGCGTACTCATAGAGTTTTTTTGTACGTGAGTGGTTGGCGGGTGCTCTGTTGTGCTTGCTCATTAGTTCCTATCAAACATCTCTCGAACTGAACTCTCCTCCTTCCTTTTTTGTGTTTGTCACTCTCTTGTAACACCTCTCTAATCTTCGTCACCTATATCGTTATGACCTCCTCATTGTGTTACAAGTGCCATAAAACTTTTAGGCCTACAAAAACTGAAGTCCTAGAGTTGCACTCCCAGATTGCGCACTGTCAATGAGTGCCAAAGCCGCCGCTCTCCACTCTCTGCAATGGATCGCTTTTAAGCACAAGGGGGCTATCCCGAAAAATGCTGTTTTGAGAGAATCGAAGGTAAAATTTTTGCCCCTTGTTCAGTTTCTTTAAAAGACAAGGAGATTTTTTTCCTATAACCAAATATGTACAAACATCAATATAACCAAACTTCTCCTATAGGACAGGTAGGGCAAAGCGCACTTTTGGTGTAGGTCAAGATTTCTGGCAACCCCCGAAATCTGAATTAGCCCGCTTGTCCTTAAAAGCGACCAGTTCAATTATATATTCGCTGCAAAGAGTGCACACCATGAGCCTTAACTTTAACGCCCAAAAATGATAGGCGGAATACATCTTTACGTAACTACAAACTTTCAATATATTATTCCCAAAAAAATCATGAACTTTACCAGTAATCTTGCATCAGTCTGTGTTAACTATAAATGTAAGTAGATCTAAACGGTTCCGGTATTGATAATGAGTGTTTTTTTCTCTTTGTCTTTGTAACTTAATAATTTCACAGCGTAAAAGAAATAGATGCTTTAGGCCGATAATATACAAAGCCGGTTTGAAGACAAAAACTGACGGACAAAGTGCAGCGTGCCAAGGTTACTAATAAAACAAAGAGTTGACGGATGTGCCTATTATACATGTACCAAGTCCTGGACCAGCCTGTAGAGGTCTGGAGACACTGCATTTGATTGTCGCATGTAGCATTCTATCCGTCAGGACGGCCGGTCTTGGACAGGAAATGAATCATCACTCTAGCCGGGACAGGAACAATCAAAATCTAAAATGGCAAAAATGGCATCAAATCGCATTTTACAGGTTAAATTTGAGCTCAGCGTACCCGGACACCCCCCTCCCCTCAATGTAAAGTATGGCATCAAATCGCATTTTACAGGTTAGATTTGAGCTCAGCGTACCCGAACAGCCCCCCCCCCCCACACACACCTGAGTGCGAAAGATTTGATATTTTCAGTGTATTCATTACTTTTCCCCCATAATTAATCAGACTGGTGAGCACGTGTGTATTGCCTCCTTTTTCGCAAATACAACAGCAATGCTAATCGTTGTTTCCTAGACAGCGCCATTGTATCAAATGAGGTCAATCCCCAAAGGCGATGGAATGGTGGGTGCAGTATAGAACAGTTAAGGTTTAGCATCCTTCAACCGCTTCCAATTTGCAGCCACCAGCCGAGCGGAGCTAGTGCATTTTCGGTCTTACAGTACAGTGCACCAAAAGCCCACAATGGTCCATTTTATCACACTTTACATTTTCCTATAAAAGGTTCGTACTTAGGTAGGTGGTCGGCCTATTCGTTGTGCTAGACGCTTTACCCCCCCCCCCCCCCCCCCCCCAAAAAAAAAAAACTCACATACACAATCAGGGTGCTGCACATGACAGCAAACAGCTCCTGGCCAGTTTGTATTAAACATATTGAAGTGTACGTTAGAATTACTATTGAGTATCATGGAAGACAAAGACGTAGATCTAATAGAATGTGCAACAGCACCTCGCGCCCATGAAGGCTGGAGGGTCATTACATGTAAACCTCTAACGGCCACTTATCCATCTGTGCAAACGACCACTTCCAACAACCCAGTTCTCTTCCTTGTTTTGTTAACTTTATAGTGACCCTGTCCTAGAAGTACGTCAAAAATCATCACTTCCCTTCAGTAATTACACGTATTAATAATGAATGTGGCCCGTGGTGACTTGATAATTAATAGCAATAAAATCACAAATTGAAATTAGTAGTTTCCAGTCAAGCTGCAAACAATTATTACATCTAATATTTTACCCCATGAAATGCCCCTTGGAGACCTACATTGCTTTTGTGTCAGTTTTGATCTCACTTTAGAGAACTTGTGTATGAAATTTGTATCGGATTTAGTTAAATTTTCTTTTGTTTTGGCTCGCAAGATCTTTGGATTCTCTTAATCTGGCCTGTGATTTTTACGCGTTTGCGTATACCTGGTGTACTAGTTTAGAATAATGATACAATCTGTGTTTTTATTCAATGCACTGTTATTTTGGTAGCAGCCCTCTTCTCCCCATTCTTTCACGGACAGTGATACAAGTAGAGATAAATCTGCTCAAATTGCCACTTGTCCTAAACAATCACATGTACAAACGTTCACCCCCCCCCCTCCCCCTACTTTCTGCGTTAAAAGAAATAAATTATGATAATGACATTGTCCAAGAAGATCGCCTTTTTACGGTGTTCACTTTCCCCCTTGACGATGGGTGATCTTCTTTGACCGGTTTGAAAGTCTTGTGATTTTTTGGGTTTTCTCTTTTTTGGGGGGTTTCAGGGCTGGTTACCATGGAAACTTTACAGCAGATGGCGGTGGTAATTCGCCTGTACATTCTACACCAGCCGTATAACGAGGCCGGGGACGAGTTCCTCGATTGGGATAAAGCTACAGCTGACCGGATGTTCTTCATCTGTTCCGCCCAGATGACCATGTCAGAGGCATTGTGGGACACCTACATCATCAAGTGGCCTCTGGACGCCAGAGTCTCGCTCGGCAACGTGGGAAAATCCTCTTTTTCTTTCGTCACGGAATTTTTTCTGACAGACGTCCCGGATAAGCCAGTTTTCCGAGAAACTGCCCAGGCGGTGGCCGTGAATCTGTTCACCAGGAAGTCACTACCTTTGCCGGACTGGTTCCAGGAGAAATATTCCGGGAAAGGTGTTCTTGGACGCAGTTTCATCATCCGCCCCATCGACAAGCCTGGGAATACTTACGTTCAAAACGTCAAGGTAAGTCGAAGAGACAGTCTAATCCCACTGTCTGTGTTTACGTGATGAAACACCAAGCTACTGTACCAGGATCTGGACAGTAAACACTTATCTTATCTTATCTTATCTTATCTTATCTTATCTTATCTTATCTTATCTTATCTTATCCTTTTGTTTCGCTAGATGTCGAGGAGACGTGCAATTTATTTATATGCACCAATGCAAAGATTCTTTATTACCAAGATATAGCAATAAAATTCTTCTATGGGCTTTTGTCTCATGCCGTGGCGGGCCTGCTTTGTCGCTTAGCGAGCGATGGGCCACGTCACTTGGCGACGTGAGGTTGGTTTCATCGCCGACTGCTTGGTGTGTGTGTGTGTGTGTGTGTGTATGTGTGTGTGTGTGTGTGTGTGTGTGTGTGTGTGTGTGTGTGTGTGTGTGTGTGTGTGTGTGTGTGTGTGTGTGTGTACAACTTTGTTAGGGAGGAGAGGAGGCGATACAGATTGGTACAGGCTAAATTAATTATGGAACAAGAATTGCCGAGTTTGTTTAAAGATAACCCAAATTAATGTTAAAAAAATACAAACTAAGAGAACAAAAGGAAAAAAGGGGGGGGGGGAGAGAGAGAGAGAGAGAGAGAGAGAGAGAGAGAGAGAGAGAGAGAGAGAGAGAGAGAGAGAGAGAGAGAGGGGGGGGGGACGGGGGTTACTGTGGATGAGAATGAAGCCAAGAAAACTGAAAATCAACAAACAATAACGATGAATATTATTTAGTGATTTTAAGCGGAACGATGTTTACCAATCGAACTCACGCAGCTGCTGTCCAGTCATTCGATATCACAACGATGGTTATTATTAGTGTCGAGAAGGCTAGGTGTAGATCTTTCCTACCAGAAGATCAGGGGTGTGGCAGAAAGACAGCAGTAAGGAGGAGCCAAGGAGTAACAGTAGAAAGGCTGCAGAAAGAGCCAGGAGCCCAGAGGAGGGGGCAAAGGAGGTGAGGGGGTGGGGGCAGAAAATGGAAATGAAAGCTGACAACAGAACATTGCTAGAGAGCAGGAAAGGAGGTGAAAGGAGACAATTTTAGAGAAGAAAATTTTTCGGTCGCTACCCGGATTCGAACCCGGGACTTTTGAATGAGAGGCCAACACCTTAACCTCTAGGCCACGAGAGCCCCCTGTCACTGGTCGACATCATGTTAATTACAGAATTACAAGACAAATAATGACATTGCGTTGTGAGAGTAAATTTTCTTTGTCCAGCTGAAGAAGTGAATGTATTGTGGAGATACACTTGCTTTACAATTCCTTTTTAACTTGATATTACGATCTTTTATAACAATGTCTGACAGATTCAAAATGTCCTTGTCTTTTCTTAGCGATATAAAATAACAACCAGTTGTTTATCCATCACCTTGGTCATTGAAATATGATGACTGGTGAAGTGTAAACAGAGTCACGTTGTTCTTACGTAAAAATTTGACTCTGACTGAAATGATTTGACCAAACTGACATCATACTATTGTTATGAATCCCTGTAGTAGAAATCTCGTGCTGGACGAAAGGTATACTTAGGGAAAATAAAATTAAATTCGCTTCCGAAGACGATGCATCAAAGAAATCTCATGGAAACCAAACATTGATTCTGAATAAAACAGTATTAAATCAAGCTTGTGAAAACATGTGCTTGAACAGCACAATTGATTTGTACACTGACGGCAGTGGTGTATATTTACTATTTTGGCCTGCTTCAAGCGTTCCACCCCATGAGATGAAAGAAAACGAATCGTACTTGCAGAATTAAGGTTAGGATATGGGATATTATATGGAAAATTGGATACGATGCATGAGCAACAAGAGGTGAGAGATGTGACTCAGCTGGTCGCATGTGTACAATAATGACAGTATTGCACAGGGTCAGCCTGTGAACCGACGGAAAGAGAAAATGACAGGAATCAATAATTCTTATCATAATAACAGCCCCCCTCCCCCTCCCCCTCCCCCCTCTCTCTCTCTCTCCCTCTCTCTCTCTCTCTCTCTCTCTCGCTCTCTCTCTCTCTCTCTCTCTCTCTCTCTCTCTCTTTGTATCTCCTTTTCTCTTTCTCCCCGCCTCCCCCCCCCCCTCTCTCTCTTGCACTGCCCCAGACAAAATTGCTCGCTTTCAACCCAAGAGTGCTAGAACGTTTGTTTGCACTCGTATCACGGGCCGTCACGCGCTAACACAAGGTTACGCCCAAGTCTCGCGCGGACGTGTGATAGGCTTTGAAACATCTTGGTAGTAGAAAATATTTAATCCATGTCTAGATGTTGTTTTAGCCCAAGAGTGAGGAGGGTGTTTTCTCATTAATATGTTATTCTGTTGGACTCCATCTAGTCAGTTTTTTGTGGCCTATCCACTGTCTTTCTATCCTGATTCTTTGACATTGTAGGCTCGTACAGCTGACACGGAGGTTTTTATCCTTAAAACCTCATTTTTGAAGTTTGGGGGAGGGGGGGGGGGGGTGCAAGTCTTATCGGATGACCGAATCACTTAATTCTCTGATGTTCAACATGCTCCATGACCGATTTTATTTGTATTAACTAACGGGACAGTTTTGTTTCTTATCCATTCTTTCCATGCGATATTGATTAATTACTTAGGCATTGTATTTCACAGGTAATGAAAGATCTTCCTTTTCTTCGCTGTTTAGTTACATATATGGACAAAGCACAAATACGACTGAAATTTGACACTGAGATTGAGAAGCGTTGTGGCGTAACTGCCTGGCTAGGCCCTGACGTTCAGGAACGAAGCCTGTCTTCTGAATTTTAATGATCAACAATTCACCAAGAAGTTGCTTGGTGTTTCTCCTTGGCTTCTGTACTACCGACAGACCAAGCTGAGACAGCCGCTAAAATCAACAGTGGAGGAATACAAACCTGCAAGGCAAGGCTGCTGGTGATGCTTGAAAATTCACAGGACAAGCTGGTCAGGTCAGTTCAACTAATATTGTGGACTTGCAGAAAGTGGAAAGTCTCGGATGCCATGATGGATGCCTAAGGAAACTCCAGGCTCAAAGAAGTCAGGGGTGATACGCATGTTGGAAGACACGGACTTGCAGAAAGTGGAAAGTTTTGGATGCCATGATGGATGCCTAAGGAAACTCCAGGCCCAAAGAAGTCAGGGGTGATACCCATGTTGGAAGACACGGACTTGCAGAAAGTGGAAAGTTTTGGATGCCATGATGGATGCCTAAGGAAACTCCTGGCTCAAAGAAGTCAGGGGTGATACCCATGTTGGAAGACACGGACTTGCAGAAAGTGGAAAGTTTTGGATGCCATGATGGATGCCTAAGGAAACCCCAGGCCCAAAGAAGTCAGGGGTGATACCCATGTTGGAAGACACGGACTTGCAGAAAGTGGAAAGTTTTGGATGCCATGATGGATGCCTAAGGAAACTCCTGGCTCAAAGAAGTCAGGGGTGATACCCATGTTGGAAGACACGGACTTGCAGAAAGTGGAAAGTTTTGGATGCCATGATGGATGCCTAAGGAAACTCCTGGCTCAAAGAAGTCAGGGGTGATACCCATGTTGGAAGACACGGACTTGCAGAAAGTGGAAAGTTTTGGATGCCATGATGGATGCCTAAGGAAACCCCAGGCCCAAAGAAGTCAGGGGTGATACCCATGTTGGAAGACACGGACTTGGAAGCAAGAAGATGCTTTTGTGGTGTAGGGCACACGGTAAGGAACAGCGACACGTGGTGATCCAAAACGTGAAGCACACGGTAAGGAACAGCGACGCGTGGTGATCCAAAACGTGAAGCACACGGTAAGGAACAGCGACACGTGGAAATCCAAAACGTGAAGCACACGGTAAGGAACAGCGACACGTGGTGATCCAAAACGTGAAGGACACGGTAAGGAACAGCGACACGTGGTGATCCAAAACGTGATGGATACGGTAAGGAACAGCGACACGTGGTGATCCAAAACGTGAAGGATACGGTAAGGAACAGCGACACATGGTGATCCAAAACGTGAAGGATACGGTAAGGAACAGCGACACGTGGTGATCCAAAACGTGAAGCACACGGTAAGGAACAGCGACACGTAGTGATCCAAAACGTGAAGCACACGGTAAGGAACAGCGACACGTGGAGATCCAAAACGTGAAGCACACGGTAAGGAACAGCGACACGTGGAGATCCAAAACGTGAAGCACACGGTAAGGAACAGCGACACGTGGTAATCCAAAACGTGAAGCACACGGTAAGGAACAGCGACACGTGGTGATCCAAAACGTGAAGGATACGGTAAGGAACAGCGACACATGGTGATCCAAAACGTGAAGGATACGGTAAGGAACAGCGACACGTGGTGATCCAAAACGTGAAGCACACGGTGAGGAACAGCGACACGTGGTGATCCAAAACGTGAAGCACACGGTAAGGAACAGCGATGCGTGGTGATCCAAAACGTGAAGCACACGGTAAGGAACAGCGACACGTGGAGATCCAAAACGTGAAGGATACCGAAGACAAGACGGGATACCAGAAAGCTGCCCAACAGTCGCAGCAGGGTCAACAGACAAACCGGACCGATGCCTCGCAAAAATCCCTTACGTGGAACGACGTGTGGCACTTGGCAACTCTGAGATATAGTTTCGTTATCAGAGAAACAGGGGATTAATCTCGTGAAGCGGGAACAGGAAGAAGATCCCCCTCAGTCCATCGTGCCAGGAGGGACAGACAATGGAACATGTCCTCAGTTCCTGTGCGGTATCCTTTGATGATGGCAGATACACATGACGGCAAAACAGAGTGCTGAACATGAAGAATTGAGTTGGAAGAAAGCAAGCGCCTCGTAGCTCAATGAGTGGAAACCTTCTAGGATCAGCAAAGGATTGAGAACAGGCTGCAAATCTCCCTGAGTAGCGCCACTACCCTCCTATGATTAAGACGAGAACAGGTCTCAACGCAGATATCGTTTTCTTCTCAGAAATTGATGCCTGGATCTTCCTAATCGAGCTGACTGCTCCATACGAAAGCAAGATAAAAGAACAGCACCAGTTCAAGATGACAAAATAT